TGTGGGCAGCCGGCCACAGGGAGAGGTGATCTTTGGAGTAAGCAAGTTCCCCTACAAAAAACGAAACGCTGGCAGTAGCACATGCTTGCAGGGTGTCGGAGCCATGTTCCATCCACTGAGTAGAGCTGCTGCATTTTAAGTATCTGGTTTAGGCCTTACACAAACATCATGTCAGTACATCAGACTCTTCATGTGACAAAAGCATTAGTAACAGGTGCAAGGTCTGCCTCTGAAAGTTTGCAGTATGTATTCAGGCATGGTACTTAAAAAGGTGTCTTAATTCCTATATAACAGGTGTGTCAAACATGGCCCACAAGCCAGATCTGGTCTCTGGAGCCATAGGATTTGGCTCATAGGTTGCTGGACAGACCCCATGCTTCAACCCCTGCACCACTGGACCCTGCGCTGTGCACACTGCACATAGCACAGGAGGCTGGCGGGGGGTGTGGGAGGGCATAGGCAGCCCATACCTTGGACTTGTGCCATGTGCAAGGTCAGGTACAGTCTGTGCATTCTGTGCTGGCCCCACATACTGTATGCACAGTGAGCCCTGCACTGGCTTCCCCATGCTGCTCTGGTGGCCAGCATGCCCTGCATTTGGTGAAGGGGCTGGACTGCTGGTGCTGCTAGGGAGCTTGGTCCAGTCTGACCTGCAGACCAGCCTAGCAATGCTCATCTGGCCCTGGTGGATGAATGAGTTTGACATCTCAGCTTCCTTAATGTGATCTAACAAAACTTGTTTTGTTGGGGACAGGGGAGGAAAAGTGTTTCCTGAAATCAGACCTAGGCTCTGAACTCTTAGGATTGATTCCTTCAGAATCTAGGTCTGATTTCTAGGTCTGATTTCCTAAAATATCAAGGCAGACAGACATTCATTAGTTGGGTGGTCAGTGTTACTCCCTCCATGTTGTATAGTTGCTTCAGCTGGCTTCTTGTCTGATCCTAATTTGCATGAGACAGTCATACAAGTTGTTTGAGTCGGATGAGCAAGACACCTACAGCTAGCTGTTTTCAAAATGCTCATGCCACTAATGTTCATGTTTAACACCAGAGGTAATGGAAGGGCATGTTGCCTTGGAGAGCTCTTTAGAAGGAACAGAAAATACCTGCAACTACCTATGGTGCTCTGTCAAAAGAAAAGAATGAAGTGCATTTTCATTTGGTTCTGCCTAAGGTCAGCACTTTGGTTCAATAGTATCAAGCACAGGTGATAAACCTGCCAATAACAACAACTTGAACCTCCTTTATCACCAGGAGGTGATCATTGATCAGTGCATTCTTTGTCGGTACCAGGTCCATGCCGGGTCAAGGATATGGCAGGATTTCAGACACTTCTCAGAATTGTCTCACAGTTAAGGGAAAGTAATTAATGTACAGAGTCAGGGAGCATATAGTGGCATTCCATTACTACGCTAATATGTTGTTGTTGTTTGAATTCAATTCATAACATTACGTGAATCTGAAAGGAATGTGCCACTCGAACAAGTAACCTTTGTTTTAAGGCTAAGAAAATGAAACGGGCACATTTATATGGGGGTGACTCCTACTTGGAGGTACCCATTCTACTTGAGTTCATACCTATAACAATGCAAGTATACAGAACAAAAGATGTTTAAAGATGAGAATAATATACGTTTATCACTTTGCGTGCATGCACGTGTATGTTTTACAAAGTCTCTTTTACCTCCCAGATGTGGATAGCTGTGGTGAGGAGAGATGAGAGAGACTATTGTCCTGTTCTTGGTGTCCTATAAAGTCTCTTGTCAGTTAACAATCCAAGGTTTTGTTTAACACCCCTTTTCACCTCCCAGAAAGGGGTGGAGAGGAGACAGACCCAAGTTTTCCAGGCAGATTTTTCCTTTAACTTAGAATCAAGATTTAAAAAGGACTTAACCTTTCTTTAACATAAAAGAACCCTGAAGAAACCGCATTTGTTTTTGACACAGTAGTAGTTGGCTGGAAAGTGATATCAGTCTGACATTTTTAAGAAAATGTAAATGTTGAAATTGGCAACATTGCAGTTAGGCTGTCAGTATCATCCTAACTGTGTCTCTCAATTATAACCTTAGTCTAGTAAACCTAGGTCTTCCTTAACTATTGTACAGGTTTGTTAATGTTAAAGGTATTTTGTTTCTAGTCATTTAATGAAATTGGAAAGGGTGATTGTATATCTAAGTCTGGTTCTCAGTTACATGATGGGAGAGACACAGAAAGTAAAGGATGTACCAATTTTGCTTGCTTACTCTTCACAGGGAATCAAGTCACTTGCCCATGGGCAAAGGCACTGCATTACATATGAAGACAGGGGAGACCTGGGTTTATAGAAGCCTTGTGGGGACTTGCCGGGGCCTTGTCTAGACTAGAATTTTGTATGAGTCTGGTATGGTTTAGGTAGTATATATTAGCCTTTGTGTTCAAAATCCTGTTCTAAGCCAGGCAAAGATTTGTCATTCTGGTTTTGATTTTAGAGTATTCATCATCTGCACTTAAAGAAAAAGGCCTATGTGTTCTTAATGCAGGTTTCAGGAAGCTTTATGGGGAAACCTAGAGTATCTTGCTTATACTAATGGTGAAAAGCTTGAAGTTTAAGGGGTTTCCCCCAAAGTTTTGATATCAGGGGTGCACTCACTTTTTTTTTTCTGGATTAAAATTGGCAGTATGCTTCACTCACACCCAAAAAGATGTGCATGAGTGAAGTGTGTGTAATAAATTGTCAGTGGCGGCAATCCCTTGATTTGAGGACGATCACTATCCTAGCTCATTTATGGGTCTTGAGGTGACTTAAGAGTCCAATCCTTGAGCCCCAGACCATCTGCAGAAGTTGTAGGTCTTTCCGTAGATAGTAGACTGTAGTAGCCTACTATCTACAGAAAGTTGTAGATAGTAGGCTGTAGGCTATAATTTCTCTTGTTTTCCTTCCTCTGTTATCTCTTCGCTGCTTTGAGAGTAATATACATTGATGCAAATAAAATGCAACCTTTTGGCCCTGTGGGCTAGGTGATGTTGGGTTGGTGTTGGGTTAGTCTATGGGCCAGATCTCATTAGCGGGCCTCATCATGCAGTGCTAACTCAGTTGGGCTCTAATCCTGTCATGTTGAGGCAGCATGCCCAGGGCATTCTCCAGCCACTTCTTCACAGTGCACTCGTGTGCTCCAGTACACACAGGTGCCCCAGCATACCCTTTAGGGTCACTGGGTGAAAGGAATCAAACGCACAAACTGAAGAATAAAACCACAGGCCATGGAGAGCCCGCTGTAATGTAAAATTAGAAAGACTGAAATTGGGACCTTTTTAAAAAGCAGAATGAAGAAACACGGTGCAGTATGACGCATACTGTGTTAAAGAAACCCGCTTCTGTCTGGGTTAGGTCCAGCTAGATAACGAAGAAAAGATTAAAATGTTCTGTGGCCTGGCATTTCGCAAAGTTGGTTTCTAGCAAGGTAACTCAAATTATGGACCTAAGAATCTTTAAAAGTAGTGAAAGAGAGGAGCATTCAAAAGATGACCTCGGGAGCTCTTGTAAACACCTGTTCCTTTTGAACTTCACAGAGTCCTTGTTTTGTGTTTTCTTGGCGCTCATTGCAGAGGGAGGCTCTTGGTTTTCAGTAGATTAAATTCTGGTGAATTTTCACACTTTTTTTAGGGCTGCTTGTTTCTGAATAGGTGAGCTCTCTTGGGTATGGTAGGCACAACCAAACTCAGAGCTCCCT